GGTGGGAAAGAGTAATTCTTTATTTTTCCCCCAGTTCAACCGTAGTATCTGTTACCACAAAACCTTGGCAGCTGGAGGAACGTTTTTCTGCCGCTACAGCAAACCCCGTATTTCTACTGAATAGAGTCCTTACCAGGCAGCTGTCTGTTGGTTTTGTGCTTTTTTTCATCTAACATGCATGTGCCTTCCATTCTCATGTTTGTTATGTTTTGCTGTCTCACATTGCTTTATTTAGATGCCATCTAACAACAGTATCAGAAAACAAATAGAAACGCTGCAGGTGAGTTAATATGTCGTCGTAACTCCGTCAAACGTTGCTTTGTCTCATGTAAAGACTTTGCTGTGGGTTTTTTATGTTAATTGTTGTATTTTGTGCTTTCCTTTCTTTGTAAAATTGCTGTTAGCACTGTTCAGAAGCAGCAGGACTAAGAATAGCTGAAGTTTCAAAGCTCTTTTTTTCTTGCCAGGGAGTAAAGGAGAAAGAGCAGAAATTTATCTAATATCAGTTTTTCCTTTGGGGTGAAAATGGGGCTTTGAGTATCGATGTGGCAGCTGGCTTCCCGGAGCAGCGGTGCCTGTTTCCACGGGAAGTAAACGGGCTGTTCAGACGTGGGGGGTTCTGTTAATTCCTGGCAAGAAGGGTCTGGCGTGCCAGCAAGCTTGGAAACACTTCCAGAGTTAAAAAATGCGAAGCTGATTTACTGTAACAACTTGCAGCGCACGGACTCGAAAGACTTTTACACTGTTGGTTGTGCAGGTTTTAAAAAGTAGAAATTGTTTTAGTTCAGAACAGAAGAAAAGTTGAACATCAGTATTTAAAATGGGTTTCTTCAGTCAGTGACCACCTTTGACCCACGTGGAAGAAAAGCCGTTTTGTGTCTTGCCTTCATGGAGATGCGTTTCCTTGACGCCCCTTAACGTGCCGTGCGAGACCACTGCAGGTTTGCTCCCGCTGGTTTGGTTTTGCAGCAGAGACACAGCTCTCGACAGCTTATTCCATAGTCTGCTGATACAAGTTCTGTTAGAAGCTTGGGGTTTTTAAACAAAATTATGCTTAAAAAATAAAATACAAACTGTGACAGAGTGCTTTAAAACCTGACAGGCCTCAGCTAAGAAGACTGAAATTCAGGCAGGTTGGTGAATTATAGCCAGACATACTGTATTCTACTTGCAGTAATCTCAAAGAGAAAAGGAAATGCTGACATGTATTGACCAAGTATATAATGTATATATAATAATAATATATATAAGTATATAATGACCAAGTATATAAGAAGCGTACCATAAATTGGACCCAAAAAACCATTTTCTTTAGTCTATTTGTTTAGTCCCTAGTTATAGGAAGAGTTAATGAAAATTTTTAGTGCTTAAGGAATTAGTAGTACTGCTGTATTTATTCTGTAACCCTTTTTAAAGGGTATAAGGCCTCCTTATACATTCTTTTTTTTTTTTTTTAACAAAGAAGCAAACTTTGCCCTAACGTATCAGCAGTAGCTCTACTGGATGATAAACCTTGTAACAGATGGGATGTTGTTAACACATCATAAAATATCTGCTACCTCCACCATTTTTTTGATTAGATGGTTGAAAGCCAACAGTAAATATTTGGTTTTCTTCTGGACCTGTAAATTAAGCTCCCTTTTGGACTATCAGAAATAAGAAGATCGAAGCGTTACGGACACCGCGTTCCAGATAGGCTTCGATAATCCGGGTGCCAGTGAGTTCACCAGCCTGCCTAGAACATCACGAACTGCTGCTCTGTCGGTTAAATGGGATGAGTACTCATATCATGGCTTTTTGCCGCTTTAAGCTGATTAAAATCAAAGCTCCCGCAGTCTCACCCTCTCGTACCGTGAGGAGCGTTTGCTGCCTGCTCACGGTAGCGCTGCTGGTCGATCAGCTGGGCAGTGGGGCCGTTCCCTGGCTGCGTGCTAACCAGGGGCAGGGTAACTTTGGACTGGCCGGGTTTTGTCCAGGTCACCTTCCTAAACTCACCCGCTGCCTGGGGTCGGGTGTGCTAGGAGCGCGTCGATGAGGATGAAAGGCAGGGAGGAAGGCATTGTCGCTGCCACAGGCTGGGCTAAGCCATCCCCTCTAATCTGCTGATCAGCGGTCACGGAGGAATTCACCCCAGTGATGTGGTGGTAGGCTTTTAGCCTTGCTTAAAGGAAGCTGCTGCCAGAACCGATAGTCCTGACCCAGCCACGTTAAAGCCATCCCAATTACTCCCCTGCATCTAGTCCGTTGCGCAGACACAGCCGTGGAGTTACCTGGATCAGCTCACCGGGGTGAGCTGGACTTTCTGCTAGAGTCCAGGCGCGGGGAGCAGCGTGGCTGCAGCGGAGGGAGCCGAGGAGGAGACCACCTCCTTCCCAACAGCGTGGTCTGCGGTCCCCCTGCACCCTGAGTGACGCTGCGCTGGTCCTGGGAGGAGAAAGCAGGCTGCTCTTCTGAGCTGGTGGCTTGCGGTGGAGCCCACAAACTGGGAAATGAGTCAGGGTCAAGCCGTCGTATAGATATGTCTTGGAGCAGAGGGACTACACTGGAGATGGGGGAGCTGGGTTTTGGGGGTTCTTTTGTTGATTTTTTTCTTGCTGCCTTTGCTTGGGGTTCAGTTGGGGGTTTTTTGTTGGTTTTTTTTTTGTTAACTGAGCGAGTGCCTAAAAAGACGACAACTGGGAAGCATTTATTCTGTTCATAAGCTCGTACTTACGGCCACTTCCAAGAATCTCACTGGACAGTCCAAGGTTTATAAATACATGAAGAATCCCTAGTTGGAAGAGGGGTTGCTGGAGCTGGTCTGCAGAATGTTAGTTGCTCATTGTTTTACAGAATCACACAGAATCCCAGCATGGTTGGGGTTGGCAGGGCCCTCTGTGGGTCACCCAGTCCAACCCCCTGCTGAAGCAGGGTCACCCAGAGCAGGCTGCACAGGACCTACACACTCTACGAGCTAGGAGGAGCAAAGCTGAACTCCCAGCAGCAGCTCTAAGACAAAACATAACTGGTTTTCATACAGTGCATAATTTAACCTGAATTATGCCACAAGATTTTATATTAATTGGAGAAAAAGCTTGCTTAACTACTGCAGTAAAAATCCCTTGGAAGTGGGTGAACATGGATACCACCCACTGGGGACGGGTAAGGTGGACTAGATGACCCACAGAGGTCCCTTCCAACCCCTACTATTCTGTGATTCTGTGATTCTGTGATTCTGTGTGCCTGCCCGGTTCTGCATCCTTCCCTTCTGCCCCTGCTGCTCTGCTCTTCAGAGACCACGGGCTGGACCTGGGCGTTGTGCCTGGTCCAAAGCAGCTGCTCCACTGGTTGTAGAATCATAAAATTGTAGAAT